ACCTCATGCTCGACATGCCATGTCATGTGCTCGATTATGGTGTTCGACGCATGCAATATTTACAAATGTGAGATGAGTAGAAAGTAGTATATTTTTTGTATGGAACAACTTTCTCTCTTATCGATCCTTGTCTTGAACTTTGATATCGAGGATGAGAATAGAACATGCGAGCGAGTTAATTTACTATCTTCACGCTAATGTCATACAACTTTTATTATAATAATGGATGTTTTTTACTAGTAAACCGATTTGTAACACCCCCAACCTAGGACTTAAAAGGTTGAGAATATTACCATCATTAACCTACATTTGAAGTACAATAAATGCAAACTAATAAGGCACTATGACTTAATCTTAATGTCTAAAGTGAATTCTATGCTCTAGAAATCTAGTATTGGCTAGGTAGGTCCTATACTTTAATTTAAAAGACATTATAAATTTTTTATGTTTAACTCGTTTGCTTACCTTTGTTGAATTGGATTACTAGTTTCTTGACTATCTATTATCTTAAATTCTTTTCTTATGAATTATTAAAAATTTATTTAGTTATAATTTAATACTGCTATTATATTACAAATTTATATTCCAATTTACCATCCGTTTTACTTGGCATGCATATGATCAAATTGCTTAAGTGTCCTAAGGATACTAGTATGCAATGGATAATTTAAAGCAACTACACTACTATTAGTGCATTATCATTTTACTATCGGTACTTTGGTTACATACAAGCTACCATTTACATACAAAATTGGTTATATGCCAACTATTATAAAATTAGCTTATTTATTAACTATATTATTTTTAAAGTACTATAGTTACTTATTCATTTCTTTTAACATAATATAAACGGACTAGCTAGTCCTAGGACATATAAGACAATAGCTAGTACCATAACCAAAATAGCATGCGAGCAAGAGTCCACTTGGAACCGAAGCCCCATCCAAGGAATCGGCCTACGGTGTAACCCTTAGAAGTCGGTTTCATAGAAAAGAAAGCCATTTATCCTTAAATATCTACATCAAAAGGAACTAAGTGAGCTATAGCCCAGTAAGTTAACTTATGCTTGTAGTGCATATGTATGCATATGCATATGTCAAACACTTGGTATATGCACATTAAATCCTTTTTCTATGTCATAATACATTTCATGATCAGTATAAAATTTCTTTTTTGTCTTTGGACATATCCCATTTAAGTATTTTAGAGTTTCCATAATGTATGTTTAATGAACTAAACCCATCCATGGACGTGCCCCACCGAACCTTTAAAAGTGCATATTTGCACTTGTTCGGTCTTGAACCATTACTATTATCATATGGAAACCCCATGAAGTCTATTCTCATAAAAATCCTTAAAGTCATAAAAAACCATATCCTTTCAAATATTTTTTTTATCGTTATTAGAAAACATGACATAAAACATGTTTTCATGACTTAAAAACATTTTTCATAACATTAGGCATGCATCTACATTTTAGTAGTAATGCATAATGAACATTGACTCATGTAATGCATGCCATGAATAATCGTTTAATTATGCCATAATGAGGTATAAAATTAATAACACAATTACATGAATAATACTACTTACATAATTAATTCCAACCATCACAATTCATATCCACATCAACATACCATCCAAATCATACAATCTCATAACCATTCACATTCCAACCATACAAAATTTTCAAAATTCAAAACATGTTAAATACCAAATAAAACCATAATCATACACAAAATTATACAAAATAAGTCAAGTTTTACATTTTTCCTAGTTAAGTCTGAATTATAACTTAATCTTGCCTAATCATTTTCTTTCAAATTTCAACATCCATTACACATCAAATTCTCTTCAATTATATTCTAACTCAATTAAACTAACTTAATTAGGTATTATTTAATGAATTATAGGTATTATTCTCTTATTAGGCTTTATTGGGACTAAAGGCTAACTTTGCTAATATAAGTTAACATTTAAATTTTTATGAGATTATTCACTCTAATTCACCTAATTAAATAATTTAATCTTGAATTGATGAATTTAGATATTAGAAACCATTTTAGAATCTAACCCTTAAACTCATTCATTTAGGCTGAAATCGAAGGATCATACATCCTATGGAGGTGTAGAATAAAAATTTTTTTCCTCAATCCGAAGGCCCAAGATCATGCCGTTGAATCAACTAATCATACATACATGAATAATAAGATAAAAGTAAAGCATTACCACCTCTAGCATGGATCTAAATTTCTTTTTTTTTTTTATTAGCTATCCAAGTGTCCAGACCTCTATTGATGAACCACGCAACCCAAATATCCCTAAAGAAGCACTCAAAATTGATGGGGTGCTAGCTTCACATTTTTTGATTAAGTTTTTTCACTAGAAATCAATCCTAGGCAATTTTACGATATCCTTATTCAATGAGGAAAGAGTATGGCTTGGTAGGGTTTAGGAGAAAACTATTTTCTCTCTTTTTCTCTCTTGGCCGTGTGCCTTAGCTTGGTATTAGGGTTGGATGAATTTTGCTATATATTCTTCTAGCTTGGCTGAATCTTAATGTATGCATTAACTCACTTTTTGCCACACCTATCCTCCTATTTATAAGGGGAGAGTTTCCTTATCCTCCAAGAACAATGAAAGGGACGGCCTAAGTCCGTAATTAGCACTTTAGGTTATTGCATCCTTATCCTCTAAGGTTAATGAGTTCTTTTACATGTGGGCTATTTAATGTTTATCTTTGAAAATATTCAACCTTATCCAATAAGGTTTATGTTTATCCTTCCATCAAAATTATCTCAAGGCTTTTAATTAAACCTAATGGGATAAAACTATTTTAGCCCAATTAATTTATTTGGACGATCCAAATAAATATTGTTAGATTATTTTGGCAAGGTCCACATTGAGAAACAATTTCTCAAAATATACTTTAACCTAAATTAGAAAACTCCTTTCCTTTTAGGTTCTTTATTTCCAAATTTGAAACTAACTTCCAAATTAGGAAATCGATTTCTAAAATAGGAAACTTTCATTTTAGGAAAATTTCATTTTCTATTTTAGGAAACTTTTCATTTTAAGAAACTTTCCACTTTAGGAAACTCTTCATTTTGAAAACTCTTTTCAAAATAGGAAACTTTTTCCAATATCTTTGCTTCTTATTTGTAATGTGAATACTTGAACTTATGCGTGTGACTCAATAGGCTCCTAGATATGTTGACAATGTATTAAGAATAAAAGACTCCTCTTTCATCTCTTGATACATAAATCAAAATTGACCTCTAGCAAGGCATCATAACTACCCAATTCTTTAAGAGGATTAGTTAATCCATTAATACCTTTCGCGAGCATGGTTGCCATACAATTCAGTCATCATGTCAACTTATCACAAGTGTGATCTCAAACTTGGTTATTAGTCTTGTTTGATTATAATCATACAAGTTTTCTTCAATTCTCAAATGTCTTAGCTCTTAAAGTAAACCAATTATGCTTTATTGGTGTACTCCTACTATTGCCACGCATTTCTTGAGCGTGACATTTATCGAAGTGCAATGTGACAACTCTTTTAGCTTACAAGAAATGACATGTCTTATCTTAGCCATACACCTATCTCCATTGGATTCCTAGTGCACCCAATGAATCGTCCACATGCAACCCATTAATGGGTCCATCGAAACAAGTGTTGAAGTGCATATGTTCTCCAATGAGATAATCATGATGTCTACGGGTCTAAGGACCATTTGTACCCATCTCATATGAGATTCCCATAGACTAAAACAAAATGGGTTCTCACGAGTGAGTCAAATCTAGTGACATGTTCTTTAACATAAATCACCTAAGTGCTTGCTTTGGCATCACCATGCCAATAGGAGTGAGATCTCCTACTGCTATCATATAGCATGAGCATAGCACTCATAAGTCTATTCGTATATTGTCAATGTCCATTCTTGACGATGCTATGACTTAGGATATTAAATAATATTATTTATGTGCATTAGTGCTTGTTTCACATCTTTCGATCAATGACTATTGCAAATGTATATCATAAGGACTTCTATCTAATTCTACTAAATTTATCAATATGTAAATATAAGAATTAATAGAATGACTTCTTTATTATTATGAAAATAAATGATGCAATAACATATTAACATAAGCCCATCCAAACATGGTTAGATCTTGGGCACCAACACTAACGAAACTTCATTAAACATAAATCCTATTATTTTCTTCTCAACTTACCCTAGAATTTCAACACCGGTTAACTTACATACACACTAACCATAGGAATCAATTTAGTCAACATTTAGGGTACCAATTTATACTCAAACCCAAATTGGGCCTTAACAAATTTAAGCCATTTCCTTTAATTTTATTGGAATTTTTCTTTTCTACACATCAAATTATACTCATTCAAGTACAAATTAACCAACAATTCCAGAATTGAATGATTCAAACTCAAACCCTAAAATTCAAGTTTTAGGCCGAATGTACCCTAAAGATTTTTATGGATTTTTCTTCAATTAAAGTGAGGTTTTTCATTCCTAAAAACTAATTCAAGCTTAATTACATTAGAATTAGGCTTTAAAATATCAATTACATGAAAGAATAAAAAACCCCCAATTTAAGCTATTATGCCGAATGGTAACCCTAGAAATTTTTGAGTTTCAAACCTCAATTTCCAGCCTAATCAACCTATGTTAACTCAATTACATGAATTATAATTTTAATTTCATTTCTCTAGATTTTTGTTTATCAAGAACCCTAACCTTAATTTTTGAAATTAAACTAAAATTTGCAAATTAAAGCATATAAACCATAAATTAGTAACAATTAAATAGGCTTTGTGATGTTGGTAAAGTTAACTTATATGATTAACTTCCAAATTAACCTTGAAAAGGTACGTTGCTTAAGAATTCTTTTCCTCCTAAATTCAAATTAGCTCTTTTAATTTTTTTCTTGAAAGTAACCCTCTTTCTATAATCTTAATGTGAAAGCAAAACTAGCGCTTAAATGGTCAAATCTTGGTCTCTGCCTATCGCGGGACGTGTGATGCTTTAGGTGATTAAGCTGGTCAAGTTGAAGGGGAATAACTTCCCGATCCAACAAGGGAATAAGGCGAACCAACAAGCACTTCTTTTGGCTGCACTCAAGGAATCGGCGATAAACCAACTTGAAATTGAGGCTTAATCCATCGATTAAGAGAGTTTAAAATTGGTTAGGAATATTTTGGTTAAATTTTGAGTAGAATTTTGCAAGAGTTTCCTTTTTATTTTTCTATTTTCTTTCCTTTTTAATTTTTCCAGTACCTCTATTTATAGATGAATTTTGTAGACTTTTTGACTTCATCTCCATTCTTAATTTGGGTGAATCTTAGTCCTTAATTCAATTTCCAATTATCATTTTTTATTTGGCTAAATTTTTGACCATTTATTCTTCTTTTTTGTTTAAGCCATCCATTTAGCTTAATTTTGACCATAAATTTTACTAAAATTCAGAATTAATTATTGCTTTAAGTCATCCAAATTTGGGTGAAAAATGACAAATTTTAGTCCTTCAAGATTCCGAGTTTTCCTTGGCCTATTCTTGCTTAAATCCATCGTTTATTCAAATATTCATCTTTAGTCCTTAGTTTCCAGTATTTAGGACTAATTTTTTACCCTCAAAATTCATAAATAATTTAAATTAAAAGGCTAGACTTTTAATTTTATGTACTTGAGTCCCTAATTTCATGTAATTTAGTTCTTAATTCTAAAATTTTATTCTATAGTTTTTCAAAAATTCAATTTCCTTCCACGAGAAAATTCAAAAATTTATTAAGAGGATTTAATCTAAATTTTCATAATTTTTGTACCTCATTTAGGCCTCCAAATTAATTATTTAGTGTAAAAATTATACTATTTCCTATGAAAAATATTCCTTATACTTGATAAAATTAATTTAAATTTATTAGGTAGTTCTACACATCCTATATGATATTTCTACATTCTTAAAAGATTCCTCATACTTTTAAAATGTCTAATTTAATTCTTTTATCTCTAAAACACTATTCCTATACATAACAATTCAAATAAAATATTGATAACATGCAAGAAAATTCATGCAATCACATAAAATAATTCAACACCCCTCTAACAAATATTTTAAGCAAGAAAAATATTTTTCATGCATATGCAACATGCTCAAAATAATTATTTCATTCAAAAGTTATTATTCATGCATCGAAAAATCAATAAATTATCTATTAAGCATAAAAGGCTACTTTAACTATTCTAAATATTCACTTAAGTCATTAAGGGTTATTTCGTACATTCAAAATATTTCTCACATGTATTTTGTATTTAATTTTAGTTTTAGTGGGTACCGATTATTATAACTTTTCCTCCTTATAAAAATTTCGTCCTTAAAATTTCTACCGAAATAATTCGAGATATTGGCTTGCCTTTCGATTTCTCTTTTCCATGATGCTTTCTCAACTTGGTCATCAATTTTCTTTATCGCATCTTTCATTGAAGTCACTTTCAAAATACCTTGTTGCCGTATTCAAATTCTTATTCCTTCCTTTTCTCATTCGTATAACTTTTCCAAAATCACGATGCAACTTTCATAAAATCCCTTTTATGTTTTTGAAATTAATTCTATTGTATAAAAATATGTAATTGTGAAAGGCTTCACTAAAAGCACTTGGTACCTTCCTATGATATTTTTCTTTGCATACTAAAAGTATACACCGAGATCATTCCTTTAGCGTGTCCTCATTTTCTTCACATGCCAAGAGTATACACTAAATCATTCTCTTGGCATGTGATCATTATTGTGGGCATGTCAAGAGTATACACTAGATCATTCCTTTAGTATTTCCTCATTTTCCTTTACATACTAAGAGTATATATCGGATCATTCATTTAGTGTGTTACATGTCAAGAGTATATACAAGATCATTCTCTTGAAATGTTTGGCATACTAAGAGTATACACCGGATCATTCTCTTAGTATGCTTCTTATACGTAAGGTGATCGTTCCTCTCTCATATCCTCAAGAAGGTACCAAGTTGTTCCCTTTTAAAACCTTTCCTAATCAATCATTTTTCACATGAAGTACTCACTTTGATGTCATTCATGCCTTTGAATTCTAAAATTACATTAAATTATCCTTACACCTTCTTGCCTCTATATTTCATTCTTGGCTAGATTTGACCCATGAAAAACAACTTCCATTTTAACAATCTGATTCTATCATGTCTTGTTGCCTTCTAAGTAGCTCCCAAATTCCTTCGAGTTAAACCTTTGAAACCACTTTACTATTTTGGTCCTTTGTTGTTGATGTGTCTTGATTGGGCCACATCGAGTCGTCTCCAATAGTTGTTTCCATTGCTCCTCATGCCACTCTTATTACGACTCCATCACCTCTTATTGCCTTCCGAACAGTTCTATCAATTTTTCCTCTTGGTCAAGCTGACATATGGCTTGACCCCACCTTATTACTAGTGTTATTGTTATTGTTATTAACCTACTTTGGTGGCATGAAGTTTCCTCTTTTAATTACACACATACATAAAGTTCATTAAGTCGTTCATATCACATTAACGTATAACCTTATTTTCTAATATGACATCACATCATTCACATCCATCTCATACATATCAAACAATCATAACCATCATTCATCAAACATACTTACTGATTTCCAAGGTCGCCTTCCATATACCTTGGATATGATTTGGTAAAACTTGCTCCGATACCATTTCTATAGCACCCCAACCTAGGACCTAAAAGGTTAAGAATATTACAGCCATTAATCTACATACGAAGTGCAATGAATGCAAGCTAACAATGCAATGTGACTTAATCTTAATGTCTAAAGTGAAATCTATGCTTTAGAAATCTAGTATTGGCTACATAGGTCTATAATTTAACTTAAAAGATATTATAAATTTTTGACGTTCAATTATTTGCTTACCTTCATTGAATTGGATTACTTGGTTTCTTGGCTATTATCTTAAATTCTTTTCTTATGAATTATTACAAATTTATTTAATTATAATTTAATAGCGTTATTATATTATAAATTTATTATTCAATTTACCTTCTATTTTACTTAGCATATGTCCGATCAAATTGCTTAAGTGCCCTAAGGATACTAGCATGTAATGGACAATTTAAAGCAACTACACTACTATCAATACACTATCATTTTACTATCGGTACTTCGGTTACATACAAGCTACCATTTACATACAAAACTCGTTTATATGCCAATTATTACAAAATTAGCTTATTTATTAACTATATTATTTTAAAGTACTCGATTTACTTATTCATTGCTTCTAACATAACATAAAACGGACTAGCTAGTCCTATGATATATAAGACAATAGCTAGTACCATAACTAAAATAGCATGTAGCAAGTCCACTTGGAACCCGAACCCCCATCCAAGGAATAAGCATTTGGTGCAGCTCTCGAAGTCAACTTTGTAGAAAAGCAAGCCACTATACCTTAAATATCTACATCATAAGGAACTAAGTGAGCTATAGCCCAGTAAGTTAACTTATACATGTAGTGTATATGTATATATAAAAAATTGATATATGCAACATTAAATCCTTTTTCTATGTCATAATACATTTCATGATCAATATAAAATTTCTTTTTTCATCTTTGGACATGTCCTATTTAAGTACTTTAAGGTTTCCATAACATATGTATGGCGAACCGAGACCCATCCACAAATGCCGATCCTGAACCATTACCATTACCATTACCATATGAAAAACACACAAAGTCCATCATCATAAAAATTCTCAAAGTCATGAAAAATCATATCCTTTAAAATATTTTCGATTGCTATCGGAAAACCATGACATAAAACACGTTTTCGTGACTTAAAAATTATTTTTCATGATAGGCATGCATCTACATTTTAGTAGTAACGCATAATGAACATTGACTCATGTCATGCATGCCATGAATAATCATGTGATTATGCCATAATGAGGTATAAAATAAGTAACACAATTACAAGAATAATGTTACCTTGCATAATTAATTCCAACCATCACAATTCATATTCTAACTCAATTAAACTAACTTAATTAGGTATTATTTAATTAATTATATGTATTATTCTTTTATTGGGCCTAAAGGCTAACTTTGCTAATATAAGTTAACCTTTAAATTTTTATGAGATTATTCACTCTAATTCACCTAATTAAATAATTCAAAGCTTGAACTAATCAATATAGGTATTAGAAACCTTTGTAGAATCTAACCCTTAAAGTCATTCATTTAGGCCGAAACTTCACTAAACATAAATTCTATTATTTTCTTCTCAATTCATCATAGAATTTCAATACCAATTAATTTACAAACACACTAACCATAGGAATCAATTTAATCAACATTTAGGGTACCGATTTATACTCAAACCCAAATTGAGCTTTAATGGGTTAAAATTGGGCATTAACAAATTTAAACCATTTCCTTCAATTTTCTTGAAATTTTTTTCTACACATCAAATTATACTCATTAAAGTACAAATTAACCAACAATTCCAGAATTGAATGATTCAAACTCAAAACCTAAAATCCATGTTTTAGGTTGAATGTACCCTAAAGATTTTTATGGATTTTTCTTCAACTATAGTGAGGTTTTTTATTCCTAAACACTAATTCAAGCTTAATTGCATCAGAATTAGGTTTTAAAATATCAATTACATGAAAGCATCAAAAGCCCCTAATTTAAGTTATTGTGTCGAATGGTACCCCTTAAGGAACTTTAGAAATTTTTGAGTTTCAAACCTCAATGTCTAGCCTAATCAACCTATTTCAATCTCGGTTGTATGAATTATAAGTTCAATTTCATTTCTCTCAATTTTATTCATCAAGAACCCTAACCCTAATTTTTGAAATTAACCTAAAATTCATAATTTAAAGCATATAAAAAATAAATTAAAAATAATTAAACATGCTTTGTAATGTAGGTGGAGTTAACTTAGATGATTAAGCTCCAAATTAACCTTGAAAAGGTAGGTTGTTTGAGAATTCTTTTCCTCCTCTTTTTCCTCCTACATTCGGATTAGCTCTTTGAATTTTCTCATTGGAAATTTTTGGCTCCCAACCAAAAATTGAGGCTTAATCCACTTATTAGGAGTGTCTAAAATTGGTTAGGAATA